TTTCGCTACGGTATCTGCCTAGTTTCTGGCAGAATTTGATGTTTGCCCGCTGTTCAAACTGCCACATTTTCGATTTCCGCCACTTGCATTGATCTGTAGTTCGCAATAGAGACCGTAGTTCTGCTTACCTGTCTGCTGTAGTCCACTGCAACGACGTTTTATGGCCAGTTCACGAACTTATTGACTATGATAGTATATCGATACACACAACACAATATTCCACATATTACACGAGATTTACACAACATAGCAGCACACACACACACACACACACACATACACACAGTTACGCTGTAAAGGCGGGATTAGGCATATCGGACATTCATAAAGTTTACATACACAGAACGATAAACAACACTACTACACAGGCAGGGTGAAGAACCCACAGTCAGACTATAAAGGAAGTAAAGTACCAGGTAATGTAGAAAAACACTAAATGTAGCATAATCAACAATGATAGTAATATGTTCTTTGCATATTGCAGACGATAACTACACCAACATCTTGGGAACTACACAATAACACAGAAACACCCATGCCGCTGCGCAAATAAATCCAAACAAGGAGACTTAAAACAATGTCATTTGGATGACTGGACGGCACCCCCAAGCAAAATATTGATATTATAATTAGATTTTAACTAGTTTTTATTAATCTTAATTAAAGTCCATTTGTTTTAAGAAAAATCGCATTCACATGTGATATGAGATGTTTGACAACAATTTGCAACAATTTTTGCGAATTAGTCACCTGATGATGGCCATATACGACCGAAACATGTTGTGAGAAGCAAAAGAGACCTAAGTTGTATAGTAGGCGGAAATATATTATATGAAATAATCTTACATTATATTTTATCAATGATAAATAATACATCGTAAAGTAAGAAAAATTTACTCCTCATAAAGAACCTGATGTCACTGTGTTATATACATAGACACCTAAAAAGGAATACGAGGCAGGAACTTAGGACATGGCACGATGCGCCATAATGAAATACATTGAAATAACTACGACCTGCATCAACGAATTTTAGGATAATATTTTTTTAACTTTTTTATTTTTATATGCATTAATTGTAAAGTTTCATTTAATAAGGCACACCTCCAGCAGTTGCTCTTGTATGACGGAAATATTCCAGAGTTCATGCAACATAAGCGAATAAAGTAGATAAACTCAGACAGTAATTTTCCCTATTCCAATAGTAGAGTTCCCTTTTCAGAAAATCATGTAGACCGAGAAATAACGCGGCTGCCTTGCATTCAGGAAGTACGCGATTTCAGTCTCGACCAGATAATTGGCTATTTGGAGTGTCTTCTCTGTTGTGCCTAGTCTGTTTAAGCCAGAGTCGCAATAACGCCTTGATATCAGAAACTTCAGCTTGTTTATAATTTCATCCGAGTTCGTCATATATAGTCGCCTTCTCAGTGTCAATCGCCGTTAGATTTCCAACATAAGTGATGCAGCGTCGTTAAGTAACCGAGTTACATAGCTAGTAGGTTGGTCAGTTTGTTACTTTGAACTCCTGCATATTTAGTTCGATGACTTTGGTGACAGCAGTTGGTGACGTGATGGGAGTGCGAATTTAAATTACGCATACTTATCCTAGCGCTGTGCTAGAGGAGAGGAAGACAATCATAAACATGAGGCATCCTAGTTTCAAAATGTATACGTATGCTTCCGCAAAATTTATACGCTGGATTTGAAAATACAGTAAACCTTAAGAAAGAATTTTGGTGATCGGCCTTTCACTTATTTTTTATTTTGCTGGGAAACACGAACACTTCGCAGTTAATCGCGATGTTTATACAACGTAAGTCGTAAGTCATAATAAGTTATTATTATAGGCACAATAGATCGCTGTGGTCACGGTGCAAGGGCCAAGAAGACCCTCCCTTTATACATTCAAGTTATTATTATACGTCAGAATTTAAAAATAGGGCGGGTTCTTTCCACGCTTTACGTTACTACACAGCGTTGTAATATAAACGAACAAGGAGAACTTTAAATATAGACCGACTAATACAAATCTGTGTCAAGGCAAAGCAACGCCCAGCCCATTGTATATATACACGTAGTCTGAAACAACTCCCAGTAAACATTTTCGATTATACGCTACAACTTCAGATAGTTTGAGGGACATCCGAATTTCTTTAAAACAGTTCGCTCAACCATGAAACACTTGATATGCGTGTTTTATTACAATTTCGGTCGTGTTAATCTGCAACAGGTGTAAAATATAAGTGTACGTAGCACGTACAGAATGAATACGCAGGAATAGATGCGAACATGTGAACGGGGAAGTTCATGGAGGTAGGCCTAGGCCCACTGGGGCTGTAGTGCCCAGAAAAAAAATAATGCGAACATAAGACCACAAATCAGCTCATCCTAATGATATAATAAAAGTGAACTCGAAATTTCGTTCTGAATTCTGACCCGTAATTCTGCAAAACATCACCAAAATGTATACGCAATATTCCGCAGTCTATTTTCTTTGACTGACCTGCCATCCTGTAAGGTGGCCCTGGCATTCGTGTGACTAGGGCCATCTTTTGTTACAGCATCACACCACACACTCTATATCATATTCGGTTCAACTTTGAAAATATCTTAGTTATCCTCTATTAAAATGCGTATACATTTTTTTGGGTCTCTCGCATTTTTTGTGCCCCTCTGTATTGACGGGATGTATGGGGCACAATCCAGGAGGAGATAGTTGTAGATATAAATAAATTGTTGCTCAAGTTATCATCTTTATTCATTTACGACGTTTCGACAGTTTTAAGGAAACGAAATAATTGATTATTTACACATACATTCCTTTATTTGCATTAAGTTACCATGAATGAAAAGCAAAGATTTCGAAATCATTAAGTTTCCGTTTGTATTTTACATCACTTTTAACACAAATGACTGAACGTGTGGTGAACGTCTTCACAAGAACGCCTCCTCTGGCCCACGGGCAAGCTGCACAGTGACGTCGATAGAGTCCCGGACGCGAATCAGTTTCCGAGTTGGTCCGTAAGGTCTGTCACAGCCACCAGGATGAGGCTAACTAGGTAGTTCTCGCACTTCCATGGCATAATCGTCTTCTCCTATGCATCCCCAGAAGGAAGAAACAGTGGATTTATATCATAAAAATGAGGAGGTCAGACGATCAGACCGTCACGGCCGCTTCATATATCCGTAATATGTTTGTTCATGGCGTAAAAACTGAGGAGGAACACTAAGGTACTGTTGTGCCTAGGCACTAGATACATTAGAGAGACTAGACACTAGATATGTTTTTGTATTATCGTTAATTTTAGTTCATTGTAATAAAATGGAAGGAACAATCACAGGATGATGAACCGGAAGTTGAATGAGATCAGACTAATGAGTGTGTGGAATCCGGTAGGCAGCCATTTTATGATGCATCGGTTAGAGAACTATGCACGTACACAGGCGACCATATATGGGCAAGTTTTGAAGC